GTGGTGGGGTGGGGCGGGGCGGGGCGGGGCCGGACCGGACCCGGGCGGCAGCCGCTTGGCGCTATAGCGCTCGACTGTGCCGGCAGTCCGACTATTTACGTGTACGAGCGAAGGCGGCACGGGCACCGCGCGGCGGCTCCGTGTGTCTCGGCTGCTCCCGCCCCCTCGTGAACCCGCGAGGACTGCACTGACCACCGTGAGTATAATATGAACAATGACGGACAATGCTCTGGAAACTCGAGTGGACGTAGTGTCACTGTTTAAACTGCAGTACCAGGGGGTACCGCCTGTGTCCGACATTTAAAAAGTGACGCATTTGTTAACAAACTGCACTTGCTGTCGAGCACGGGGCGTCCTACACAAACTGTTTGTGGTACACGTCGTGTCCTACACGTATAACTGACTGTAGTAGTAGTAGTACACGAATGGTGTGCGACACTTAGGTTTCCAAAGTGTTGTTGGCATGAGTTGATTTTAAAAGTGCAAATTTAATCTTATTTTTCGTTGTGAGTGTTGTGTAAGTCGTCGCCGTATCAGTGTGGAGACTCGGCAACTCAAGTTGTTGCCGTTTTGTAGACTCTAATAACTGTCATTTTGTTTGGTAATTACCCTCTATGCTACATACAGTTGCCTCTGAAAAATTTTAAAAAAAGTAAGGCCTACAGGCACAGCAAATCTATACCTCGACTCCAGGAAATTACGTTTAAAAAAAATATCTACGATCAACGCATTTTGCCTTGTTTCATGACAAAGATTTTCGGGGAGGTAATTATTCGAGGATGCTTAACTTGTGTCAGTCAGACCTAAGTGTCTTTTTTTTCAAATGTCTCATCCCTTTTGCCGTGACCTGCCCCATTATTAGAGGGCAAATTTCCAGATGAAAGGTCGTTACAAGGTCCCGTGTGACGAGATACAGAAAACCAGAGTGTTGGTGCGTGGTGTGCTGGGCGTAGTATGTAGCCGGCGGGACGCAATACTTATCTGGGTTACTGCCTCTCCTCCGCCTCCCCCTTCGCCTCCTAGTCCCGCGCTTGGGGTCAGCGAGACGGGTCCGTGCAGCACACAGACGGCTTCCGCCTGCACGGACGGCGGCCCGGTCCCTACCAGGCTCAGGGAGCATCCCGCGAGGGGCCCCCACCAGGTGGGGGGCGCTAAGTCAAGTGCACCTCGACAACGATAACGACCTTTCTGCTCCCGCCGGGCGGACCTCTCGGCCGGCCGAGTGACAGCGCGCGACACGTGTAGACAAACTCACGTTGTTGTGGACACTAATAATTGAGGGCTATATGCTTTAAACTGCAGACAGCACCTTCGGACCTTCCGCCCTCGTTGCTGACCTTTCGCAGAGCCAGATGCGGTGCGTGCCGTATCTGCTCGCCCCACGGATGGGGGCTTACTAGTATTGATTCTGGCGCTATTTATAGATATACTGACGAAAAATATTGCTGAAGCTAATCTATAGTAAGACTTTATCTACAGGGTGGCCCGCATACATACGACCCCGGACAATTGTCCGCAGTTACACTGTACCACATGCAGCTGTGCCGGCGGGCTCGTCTCCTGTCCCTCAGCACGGCGCCTTTACGGCCCCTTGCGAGTAGGCAACGCGTTCACACGCCTGCATGCGGTGCAGTATAACTACGACATTGTCCGGGGTATGCGGGCCCGGGCCACACTATAGGCTATCTGCGTGATGGAATTTCGGGACCCCTTTATCTTGCCAGGGGCTTCTTCACCCGCTCGCACTGCTCGCAGAGATTAACATCTTGAGGTTCATGTCGTGGTGTGATTTGAGTTTTGGGCAGAGTAGAGAAACCACAGTAAAGTTGTTCTCCCTGGGTCAGTTTTTCTCCAACCGTTCTTGACCTATCGTGTGTGTTTGTGCTTGACACCAACCGACAATCTGCTCCACTCGCTTGTCAAAGCTGGTCGAATAAGCTTGACCTAACCGCAAGCCCAAGCCACAGTAGAGGTGGCGACTGGCGAGACTTCTGTTATATCATGTTAAGCCAAGCCGAACGCTCAAGCCCGATGCGACGAATTTTTCGGATTAAAGTAATGCCACCAACACAGAGTTTCTTGCCCCATTAGCGCAAATACACTTAAATGCACACTCTAGTTGCGGCAACGCGGTAAAAATGAACACTAAAAACATTACTTTCATCCGCAAAATTCGTAGCATTGGGCTTGAGTTTCGGCTAGGGCTTGGGCTTGGGCTTGCGCGTTCGACTTGGCTTAACTCGATAGAACATACTTTATTGCTGACTGATGTCGTTTTAAACGCGGCCCCGCGTGGTCGTCCGTGAGAAAGAGAGACGCGGAGGAGCGCATGGCGTCGCGCCTCCTGATGAGCGATGATGTGAGCGATGTGAGCTGACCCCGAGAGTGACCCGGGCCACGCGTCGTGAGCATTGTATGGGACACTAGGCGCTGCCCGAGAGCTGCAAAAAATAAGAAGGAACACGTGAACACGTGAAGACGTGAGCAGTAGTAGTCTGGGCTCGATTCACGATCCTCGCCGGTGTTTCACTCACTAGTTGTTGAGAACTCGAAAATTATCATTAAACAGAGATCAGGTTCCAGACTCCACAGAGGTGACCTTGAGGAGTGGTCCGACCCGATAGCAAGCATGTATGTAGTTGGAAAGTGCTCGGTGAGGTGGCTGACATTAGCCTAACCGGTAGAGGAGAGCTCTGTAACTTACGTTGGTTACTTACTAGAGCACATGCTCAAAAGGAAAAGTATAAGTTAAGGATTTTTAAACATGCTGTTCTGATGAGATGGGTATACTAGCCCGCACGCAGGCGTGCGTGTTCGTTTGCCTACCTATTTTGCTGCAAACCGGCTCAACGACTACCCCGCAAATTTAACGCTCAGATAACTTTGAAAGCCCCTAAGTAGAGTACGGAGCTAAGCTAACCGGCGGCCAGCAGACCCGTGCGTGGGGCTGGGCAGGAAGTGGGACACTATCGTTACAACAAATATTGCCATACAGTCCAGACGATAAAAAACGACGGTGTGCTGATAATTCGGTGTCTTGCCCTGATGATTTGAGAGTGCGGAACAGTTTAGGCGAAAACAGTCCCCCCCCCCTTCTGTGCGTGTCCTGACGACGGCAAAAAGCAGGCACGTCGTCCAACGACCCTAGTGAATAGGCTGTAGTCTGTATCGGTCGGCTGAGCTTTGCACGTCCCGCCCTCAGGCCGCCAAGCCCCGCTCCCCGCCGCCGACATGCTGGAGTGGCTGTTCCCGGTGCTGCTGCGGTGGTTCATCGTGGCCTTCGTCGCGCTCAACCAGATCCTCATCCCGCTTCTGCGGCCCGACCTGGTGAAGCCGGAGGAGCGGCCGCGGGACGTGCACGACGCGGGCCTCGGCTTCCTCGACGCGTACGACTACATCGTGGTGGGCGCGGGCAGCGCTGGCAGCGCCCTCGCCAGCAGGTGAGTGCGGGGGCAGAAAACCTTGTAGAGGGGAAGGGAGAGAGAGAGAGAGAGTCACAGTGCCCGTCTGCGCGCAGGCTGTCCGAGGACCCCTCCGTGACCGTGCTGCTGCTGGAGGCGGGCCACCAGGAGCCCATCCGCTCCGAGGTGCCGGCCGCGATGCTCACCCACTCGGGCCCTGGGTACGGCTCTGAGGAGGACTGGGCCTTCGAGACCGAGCCGCAGAGCCACAGCTGCGGGGGCCTGGCCGCCAACCGGTCGCAGTGGCCGCGCGGCAAAGTCCTCGGCGGCTCCAGCACCATCAACGGCATGCTGTACATCCGCGGCCACCGCTCCGACTACGACCGCTGGAGGGACGAGTACGGCGCACAGGGCTGGGGGTAAGCGCCGTCGTCGTCGCCATGCTGCTCGCTGCGCGGGCGGCTTCCCCCACGGACTCTCACCCTTACGCAATAAAAAAATCAACCAATCAACCCCACACTTCCGCAGGTACGACGACGTTCTGCCGTACTTCAAACGCAGCGAGGACATGCGCATACCCGAGCTGCAGGACTCCCCGTACCACGGCGTAGGCGGGCCGCTCACCGTGGAGTACTACAAGCACTACGCCGGCATCACGGACGACTTCCTCGTCGCCGGCCAGGAGTTGGGGTAAGGGAACTGCCTGACGATGAGCCTCCGCGCTAAGCCGTGAGAGGTCGCCCCTCGGTCTGACCCCTCGGTCCTCCCTTGTGACGACAGGGTCCCCGTCAACCAGGACGTGAACGGCGCGGCGCAGCTGGGGCTGATGCGGGCGCACGGCACCCTGCGTGAGGGGCTGAGGTGCAACACGGCCAAGGCCTTCCTGAGGCCCGCGGCCAACCGGACCAACCTGCACATCAGCATGGACTCAACGGTCCTCCGGGTGCTGCTCACATCGGACGGCGGCGAGGTCGTGGCCACGGGCGTGGAGCTCTCCAAGCGCGGCGCCGTCCACCGCGTGCGCGCGGCGCGAGAGGTCCTGCTCTCCGCCGGGGCCGTGCAGTCCCCCCAGCTGCTCATGGTGTCGGGCATCGGGCCGGCGCGCCACCTGCGCGACGTGGGCGTGCCCGTGGTCGTGGACCTGCCGGCAGTGGGCGAGAACCTCCAGGATCACGTCGGGCTCGGTGGCACCGTGTACGTCGTGGGCGTGCCGGGGAAAACAACCGCCGCCCTGGAAATGGCCTCGGTGCAGAGTGCCATCGGACTTACCTCCGGCACCGGTGGGCCCTCCTTCGGCTGGTCTCTTGGCGAAGTCATGGGCTTCATCGCCAGCAAGTAGGTGTTTCAACATTTTTAGATACTTAGGGACCATCCATAAAGTACGTACGTCGTCGAAGGGGATGGGAGCAAAGAATGTGAAGAAAATTGAGAAAACAGCACAATTTTCGCCGAATTTTCCGTTTTTTGCACAGTTAAAATCGGACGTCCGGACAACCTATTACCCCCCCCCC